ATCATGGTCGAATCCCACACCACGCTCAGATAAGTGGTCCTCTGTAATGGAGAAAGCACACTTTTCTTGGCGTTTAGTCTTAACACCAACTTTCCCATATGAGCGAGAACGACGTCTTGATGCCGAACCGCCATCTGCTCTGATTGAGCTAAAATCAACCAATCGTCGATGTAATTGAGTATGCGGACGCCCTGGAGCCGCAGAGGAGCCAGGCATCCACACACTCCGTGAAAGTATGGGGTGAGAGTGCTAGGCCGAAGGGAAGGACCCGATATTGGTAAGCTTTGCCCTTGAAAGCAAACCTCAGGAACTTCCTGTGACTGGGAAGGATGGAGACATGAAAATAAGCATCTTTTAGATCTATCGTGACGAACCAGTCCTCGGACCTGATCTGAGACACGACCTGTTTGACAGTGAGCATTTTGAACTTCAGACGAAAATCTAAAATTGGACACAACCCTCCATCCTTCTTTGGAACGATGAAGTACCGGCTGTAGAACCCGGACTCTCTGTCGAGAGGAGGGACCACCTCGATGGCCTCCTTCCTCAAGAGAGTATTGACTTCTTGTTCTAATACCAGAGCCTGCTCTGGGCCCACTACTGTGAGAAAAACCCCTTTTGAATGCGATAGCCTCTTTCTACAGTTTGCAGGACCAAACGAGATACATTTGGCAGTAGTTTCCACGCTGCTAAATTATCTACTAAGGGAACCAGTCTCTCGAGACTAGCCTCTGGTGTATTTGGAGCTGCTAGCTGGGTGCCCTGAAGCGGTGGTCCGGCAGGAGATAGCCGAGCTAGCTGCTTGAGAGACCCCCGAAGGGGTGACGAAGCTCTCGGCTCCGCTACGTTCCCGCCCTCAGCATTCCTGGATTTAGGTCTGTCAGGACCGCTTCGTCGAGGGATTCCTCGAGGGCTTCCTCGAATGAAAAAGCGACCCTCAGATCGGGCCTCGCCTTAGAAGCCCCTGACTTTGAAGTCAAAAACTCTGTTTTTGAACCTCTCTATATGAGGAGCTGGTACCCGGCTGGGGCTGCTCCCGCCCAGCAGCCCCCAGAGCTATAGAACGGCGAGGGAGAAACCGCTGGAATGCCGCCGCCTGTTTACGGGCCTCCTGGTATCTGTCGACGACCGAATCGACGGCGTCGCCGAACAGACCAGAAGGCGCAAGCGGGGCATCCATAAGGCAGACCCTGTCCTTCTCTTTCATATCGGACAGGGTCAACGATAAATGCCTCTCCGTTGCCACCAGAGCTACCATGGACCGCCCAATAGCACGGGCGGTCTCCTTGGTGGCGCGAAGAGCTAAATCAGCGGTTCTCCTTAGTTCTAAGATATCATCTGCTTTAACTTGCTCGCCTTCATCTAGCTCTTTTAGCAGGTCGGCTTGGTACGCCTGTAACACTGACGTAGTGTGCAGACACGCACCAGCCTGACCCGCTGCCGAGTACCCCTTGCCCACCAGCGCTGAAGTGGTTCACAGCGGCTTAGAGGGCAAGACCGGAGCCTTCAGAGACGACGCCACGCCGGGTGACAGATAGCTCGCAAGCGTCTGCTCTACCCGGGGCATCGCTCTGTAACCGCATTCACTCAACCCCGCCACATT